CTGAAAGCGTTCCGAAACGCTCTGGAACGAGTTATTCTGGTCCTAGCCCCACAAGGAGGCCCCCGGAAGCCTCGAGAGGACTCGGGAGGTCCCCAGAGGTCCTTCGGGGAGGGGGCCCATGGAGGGAGGCACACGGGGAGGAGGTGGGAGGACGAGTCGAGCAGGCTTCTGGGAACTGCTCGGCGCTGTGGCCACGTGGCTGCAGTCCTCTGTCTTCGGAGTCATCCTCCCCCCTCCTTTCGGGTCTTTGGTCTTTGGGGTAGTCCTCCATTTCTGGGGCCGCTCCCGCGCCGCAGGAGGAGGGGTGCGGGGCGGCTCTTATTAATATCATTATTATTCGTATTATTATTAGTAATATTATTAGTATTGTTCGTATTATTATTATTCCTAGTACGATTATCATTAATATTGTTCGTATGTTTCTTCTTCGTATTAATCTTATTACTCGTATCATCATTACGTCTATTATTATTAGTATTATAATTATAATTATTATTATTACTATTATAATTATTATTAGTATCATTATTACTATTATTGTTAATAGTATTAGTAGTAGTAGTAGTAGTAGTAGTAGTAGTAGTAGTAGTAGTAGTAGTAGTAGTAGTAGTAGTAGTAGTAGTAGTAGTAGTAGTAGTAGTAGTATTAGTATTAATCTTATGTTTACTCTTATTAGTATTCTCCTCTTCCTCTTATTATTCTTCTTCCTCCTCCTCCTCCTCCTCCTCCTCCTCCGCCTCCGCCCCCGCCTCCTCCTCCTCCTGGTCCGCATCCCCTCCCCTCCCCTCCCCCTCCGCCCCTCTCCCCCTCCCCTCCCCCCCCCCCTCCCCCCCACCCCCTCCCCCCCCCCCCCCTCCCTCGGACCCCCTTTGGGAGGACAGGACAGGACATCCGCATGAGGGGGTCAACGTCAATGCACCCGCTAAGGTGCAGTGTAGAGCGTTTGCGTAATTCCCCCGCGTGAATGTTATGCAGCAAGGACTCGACAGCCCTTCGACATCTCATCGAGGAACTGCCAAGGCCTGCGAAGAGGCGTGCACGCCTTGGGAGGCCTCGAGGGGCACCGAGAGGCGGCAGGGCCCCACGGCGGCAGCGAGGGGCGTCCTCGTGGTCGTCGCCGTCGTCGCCGTCGCCGCCGTCGTCGCCGTCGTCGTCGTCGTCGTCGTCTCCGTCGCCGTCGCCGTCGTCGTCGTCGTCGGCATCGTCGTCGTCGCCGTCGTCGTCGTCGCCATCGCCGTGGCCGTGGTCGTCTTCCTTGTCGTCGTCGTCGCCGTTGTCGTCGTCGTCGTCGCCGTCGCCGTCGGTCGTCGGTCGTCGGTCGTCGGTCGTCGGTCGTCGGTCGTCGGTCGTCGTCGTCGTTGTCGTCGTCGTCGTGGCCGTGCTCGTCTTCCTAGTCGTCGTCGTCGTCGCGATCGTCGTCGTCGTTGCAGAGGGGAGCACTACTCGAGAAGGGGATCGACTACAGAACTGATTTACCTTGGTGGCGGGCGAGGGGGGGAAGCGAGAAAGAGAAGACCTTGTCAGGGGGTTCGGCGGTAGGTCCCCGGGCCTTCTGAGGGGTTTTCGAAGCCTTCCCCGACGACACAAAAAACCTCCCCGAGGGCACGAGGGCTTCTGAGAAGTTCCGGCGCCTTCTGGGAGAGCCTTCTCCTGCTCGTTTCCCCCCCCCTCGCTCGCCGCCGATTACCCCAAGCCTGAAATCCTCGCCGGGTCTACAAAAGGTGTGCAGATTGTTCGTAGATCTGCGAGCCTTCCAGGCGCGAATCTGCAGATTCGACGAACAGTTCAATTGATTGGGGGTAATCGATCATGTAGTCGATCCACGACTCGAAATACATGTACAGTCAACCAGTATAGTAAGGATGCGCGATAAGGATGCAAGGGCCTTGGACGCATTTCGAAGCTTTTCGAGCGGGGCGTGGCCAACGGAAGTGGCCAAGGATGGACCGAGGAGGCAAGGATGCAAAAGGGTACCCCTGGGGAGATTGCTCATCCTTACTATGTGGGTTGACTGTATCCAGGGGCGCCGATGGTCCGTGCCTTCGGCGAGGCCCCCGGGCGAACACGCAGAATGCCCTCCCCTGGAGCTATTCGCCCCGACCGTCACCTCCGAGCCACTGGAAGGGGGACGCGTCGAGCCAGAACCGGCGATGGATCGCCGACAAACCGGCCAGGGCTCGGGCTGCAGAGCAGCGTTTTGAAGGGGCCCAGGGACACACAAATAAACAGGCACAGATCACAGGATTCCACATATTCTGCCATATGTTTTCTGGGTCTCCGTCATCCCCCCACTTCCCACATTTTCCCATAGTTTCCTGGAAATCGACGATTAATTGTGCCTGTGTGTCTTTTTGTTCCTCCTGATGTTTTCCGCGTTCGTTATGTTGTCGTTTTTCCCTCGTTCTGTCTTCGCTTCGCTTTTGCGGCAGGACGAGACCAAAACGCAAACGGTCAAGGCATCGCCCGAACACCGCTCAGCTCGCGCCCAGAGATCGGCGACAGGCCCCCGACAGCGCATCCGCGCGCTCCTGGGCAGGGTGGGCGCTCGGGCCCCTCTCGGCGATCGATGGGCGATGGGGGGTTGATGCACACCCCTCCTCCTCCTCCTCCTCCTCCTCCTCCTCCTCCTCCTCCTCCTCCTCCTCTCTCCCCTCCTCCTCCTTCCTCCTCCTTCCTTCCTCCTCCTCCTCTCCTCCTCCTCCTCCTCCTCCTCCTCCTCCTCCTCCTCCTCCTCCCTCCTCCTCTCTCCTCCTCCCTCCTCCTCTCCTCCTCCTCCTCCTCCTCCTCCTCCTGGTCCTCCTCCTCCTCCTCCTCCGCCTTTTCTCCTCCTCCCCCCCGCCGTGAGCCCATCCCGGCCTGACGCTGCCCCTGAGATGAGCCCGAGGAGACTTGGAGGCGGCCATGGGGGCCTGAACTCGTGGGGACCCCAGAAAATCGGCAGGGCAGGAGGGGGGAAGACTTAGGTCGGGCCTGTCCCCCCACAGGGGGATTTTGGACGAAAAATAAAGAACACCCAAAATACTCCAAACATGCTCAGAAATGGTCAAACAATCGTCCCTGGACTATTTTTGACTATTTTTGCATTTCCCTCCTGTAGAGGAACAGGCCCGACCTAAGGGAAGAGGCCAAATGCGCCAAAAGTCGGTGCCTGGACCCCTCTCCTGGGGTCCTTCTGGCGCAGTTTTTCACCCCGGATCCGTTTGCGACAGCCCTGGGGCACGAAAGCGGCCCCCAAAGGCCGAAAAAGCCAAAAGAACCTCCCGAACCCAGAACCTCCAACCAGCCCGCACTTCCTGCTGGCCGGAACATGTGCTGGGCCACCTCAGACTTCCAGCCCGGCCCCAACCCTAACGCTGACCGCTGGGCACTTCCCAGCGCGCACTTCAGTGCGAGTCGGCGACTTGGCCGGGCACACGGTATCATGACAAAGTCCACGAGGGTAGACGCGATGATGAGGTAGCGATGCTGGTGACGATGATGACAACGACGACGGCGATGCCCGATGCCGACCACGCCGAGGACGACGACGGCGCCCTCGCGCCGCTGGGAACGTGCTTCGCCCGCAGGCGCGCTCCCTGGTGCGGGCGCCCAGCGCCAGGCATCGCGGGGCGGCTGGCGCCTCCCGGGGCGTCCGGGAGGCCCCGTGGAGGCCCCGGGGAGGCCCGAAAAGGTCCAGGCGATGGTGGTGATGGTGACGCTGGCGGTGGTGGTGATAGCAATGGGCACTGGGTGATGGCGATGATGGTGGTTATGATGGTGATGATGATGATGCTAGTGGATGATGATGATGATGAGGAGGAGGAGGAGGAGGAGGAGGAGGAGGACGAGAATGAGGATGATGATGCTGGTGATGAGGATGATGAGGATGAGTAATCGGATGATGATAATGATGATGAGGAGGATGATAGTGATGATGGTGGTGGTGGTGACGGTGATGGTGATGGTGATGATGATGACGACGGTGATGATGATGGTGGTGCTGATGATGGTGATGGTGATGGTGATGGTGAGGGTGATAATAATTGTGATGATGACGATGCAGACGCTGAAGACGCTGATGACGATGATGACGATGATGACGATGATGACGATGATGACGATGATGACGATGAGGATGAGGATGATGGTGGTGATGGTGGTGATGGTGGTGTGGTAATAGCGACGATGGTGATGATGACGGCGACGATGGTTATGACGCTAGTGGAGGTGATGGTGATAATGAAAATGACGACAATGATGATGATGATGAGGAGGAGGATATGGTGATGATGTTGATGATGGTGATGATGATGGTGGTGGTGATGTTGATGGTGGTGGTGATGATGGTGGTGATGGTGGTGATGGTGGTGATGATGATGGTAATCATTATGCTGATGATGATGGTGGTAGTGGTGGTGGTGATGGTGGTGATGGTGATGATGATGTAAAGAATGATGTTGATGCTGATGCTAATGATGAAGGCGATCATCATGACGGTGATGGTGACGATGATGAAGATGGTGATGAAAGTGATGGTGATGACGACGATGATGACGATGATGCCGATGATGCCGATGATGACAATGATGAGGATGATGATGATTATGATGCTGATTATGATGATGATGCTGATGATGATGATGGTGACGTTGTTCATGATGATGAGGATGAGGATGATGAGGATGAGGATGAGAAGGATGAGGATGAGGACGAGGATGTGGATGAGAATGAGGGTGAGGATGAGGATGATGATGATGATGATTATGATGATGAAGCTGATGATGCTGATGATGATGATGGCGGTGATGATGGTGATGTGGTGATGATGGTGATGGTGATGGTGGTGATCATGATGTTGATGCTGTTGATGGTGATGCTAATGAAGCTGATGAAGCTGATAATGCTGATGATGCTGATAGTGGTGGTGGTGATGGGGTGGTGAAGGTGTTGATGATGGTGATGATGCTGATGCTGATGCTGATGCTGACGATGATGGTCATGATGACGATCATGGATATGATGATCATGATGACCATGATGATCATGATGATCATGACCATCAATTTGACTGGCGGCGGCGGCGGGCGCGCGCGAGGTCCTCGGCCAAACCCACCGTCGTGCAGGCGTCGGCGTTACGCCGCCACGGCACCTCGCCCGGGCAGACGACGGCGTCGGCGCTGCCGACGGCGGCGGCCGCGACGGCAACGGCGGCGCGCTGCCACGGTGCCTCGCCCAGGCGGACGACGACGGCGGCAAAGGCGACGACGACGACGGCGACGACGGCGGCGACGGCTGCGTGCTGCCACGGCGACGCGCCGCCGCGGCGCCTCGTCCAGGCGGACGTCGACCGCGTGAGCCCCCGGCTCGGGCGGGCACGGGCAGGACACGGCGGCGCCGTCTGGCAGGTCGACCTTGTGACACCTGCCGGGCTCCGGCGTCGTGCCGCCCCAGAGCGACGCCTCGAGGACCTCTCCTGCGGGGCAGGGGCGTTCGGCGTTCGGGTGCGAGGGAGGCGGGAGAAGAAGAGGGCGTCGAGACAAAGGCGGCCCTCCCGTGGCGTTTCTCGTCCTCTCTCGGTCTGGAGGCCAATTTTTTGACTGGATTTGTGGCGGGCGGGAGCCGCGGGGGGCGAGGAGGATGAGAGGAGGAGGACGAGGAGGAGGACCATCTGGGACCTATGGTTAGGTCGAGCATGTCCTCCTACAGGCGGATTTTGTATACAGAAACATGTCAAACATGGCCGAAGGAGTCCTGACAAATCGTCCCCAGACTATTCGTCATCTGTTCTTGAAGTCTCCTCCTGTAGAGGGACATGCCCGACTTAATTCTATGGACCCGTTTCGTCCTTTGGGTTGGCGGCGAGTGAGGGGGGGAAATGAGAAGGCGAAGGCCTGCTCAGAAGGCGGCGGGACTTCTCGGAAGCCCTCGCGCCTTCTGAGAAGCCCTTGTCTGCCGTCGGGCAAGGCTCCGGAAACTCCTCGGCAGGCCAGGGGGCTCCCGAGACCTCTGAGAAGGCCCGCCCCCTTCTCGCTTCCCCCCCCCCCCCTCGCTCGCCGCCGAGGGGGGGCCTCGGGGAGGGAGGGGGGCGGCGAGGCTGCCGGACGCGGGGCGGGGGGGGCAGGAGAGAGGCGCGGCTCGGCCCAGGGGGCGGGGCCCGCGCCCCGGGCTTGCCGCGGCGGGGAGAGGCCGAGGGCGGCGGGACAGATTCTGGCGGCCCGCACAGGGGCTGCAGTCGGGCCCGCCCCTCCACAGGGGGACTGCTCAAGAGTGGTCCAAAAATAGTCTGGGGACGACGTCTTGACCACTTGTCAAACATATGTGGGGGGTATTTTGCGGGGTATGTTTCGTGCGTCGTGCAACATCCGCCCGTAGGGGGGCACGCCCGACCTAACACCAGGGGGTGGAGGGAGGGGGGAAGGCTTCTGAGCAGGAGGCTGCTTCTTGGAAGGCGCCGGCCCCCGCCCTCTACGGAGCAGGGGTGCTTCTAAGAAGAAGCCCTCCCCCCTCCCCCCCACCCCCCTCTGCGCGCGGCCGAAGAGAGTGCAGAAGAAAGGAGGGAGGACCACGACCCAGACCCCGACGCCATGACTTCAGTAGGACGCACAGGGACATACTAGTGCTGGATGTCCTCCTCGGAGGCGTGCGTCCGACCCGACCATATAGTATGCCCATAGTGTAGCAGATCGTTGCCCGAGCGGTGAGTCCAGGAAGCGCCCGCCACGCAGCACACACTAGAAGATTTCTCGGTACGCGCGTCGCCCCTGGGGGGACGACACAACCACACACACACATACTATGAATATGTTGGTGTGACGCCGATTCCACGTCGACCACCAAACTGGAGGCGCGCAGAAAGGGGGGAGGGAGGAAGGCTTCTTAAAAGGAGGCTGCTCCTTAGAAGGTGCTGGCCCTACATCTACAGACACGGCATGGGTGCTTCTATTAAGAAGCCTTCCCCGCTCCCCCATACCCCCTCCGCGCGACGTCGACCAGAGGTCTCGACCCATTCCCTCAGGCCAGCTTTGCATCCTGAGCGTTTCTGTTCACGGCCCCGAGGCCCGGTCAGGGCCCCCGAGGCCGACGATAGCGAAAGACCTCCCGACGTGATGTTTCGATGACTCGAGAGGGTCTGGGGACGAAGCGGCCCCGAGGCCCGGTCAGGGCCCCCGAGGCCGACGATAGCGAAAAACCTCCCGACGTGATGTTTCGATGACTCGAGGGGGTCCAGGGCCCGGAACGCGGACCCGGCTGGGCCGACCCGCACGCAGAGAGAGGGCGGCCTCGCCCGGTATGGATCGCGGGGAGGGAGGGAGGGAGGGAGGGAGGGAGGGAGGAAGGGAGGAGGAGGAGGAGGGGGAGGAGGAGGAGGAGGAGGAGGGGGGAGGAGAGAGGAGGAGGAGAGGAGGAGGGAGGCAGGAGAGGAGGAGGAGGAGGAGGAGGAGGAGGAGGAGGAGGAGGTATCATCCTCAGAGGAAGAGAATAAGGACAGGGAGACGAGAAAGACGAAGAGGACGAGGAGGA